TTGTATCCTATAAGTTGTTAAGTTCTGCGACTGAGAGAAAATATCGATAAAATCGTTCTTTTTTCTACATTAACACGATATTATATTGGACAGAAGATAATACATTCCGGAGATCTAAATGATCGAGATGTTGAGAAACGAATGTTAGATTATTGACACGAGCATCTCCTGATGGAACTTAAACCTGAAGAAAACGCTGTATCAAATTTTATGTATAAGTAATTTATGTAGTTTTATTAGATTAATTATATTGTGCGAATAATATGTATTACAGTAGATAAGCATCGGTTATATAAAAATATAGATCTTAAAATCCGTAAATCTGTTAATCCATAGATTCACTGATCACACATTTAGCATCATAGACCCTTGCTTCTATACGAATGTGTATAGTATCACAGCTTGATAAAAGAAAATAGATCCATGGATCTACAGGTTCACAGATCCATTGATCCACACATGCACAGATCCATCTATATATTCGCAGATTTATAATCATTTCTTCATAATTCCTTAAACCTATTATTATTATTATTCGTAAGTTTTTGATTAATATCTTTATGATAGTCTTAAGTCTATTAAGCGCCTGTTTGTTAAAAATCAGAATTAAATCAATCATGTGTCTTGAGATATAAATTTCCTAACATTTATTCGAATACAAATATCTAGAAAGATGTCTGTAAAATCTTTTGTAGACATCTTTAAGATTTTTTCAAAAAAAGGCATTTTTAAATATGTCGATTAAATATCTTACGACTCTTTGAAAAGTACGTCTTATTTATAACATCTTAAAGTTGTCTATTATACGACATTTTTTGGATTATGCAAAAGAGATGTTGCTACAGTAATTATAGTAATTATTGTAACGTGATCTATTTAATTCCTCTGCGTATCGCGTGCCTAAAGTTTGGTGAAACTAAAGCTTTAGAAGAAATTGTAATTAGATCGCGGGTTCACTCGATGTAGCAAGCTTGACTTTAAACGAAAGCTACTGTGCCAGATAACATTTTTTTCCTCCCCTTCACGCTCTCAATTTTTTCTTTTACGAATATAACGTCTGCGTGGTCGTCGAGTAGCGGCCATTGACATCTGAAACACATCCGTGGTCTAATTATAATCTATATCGGTTGGCAGTAATAGGGAATAATAAATAAAATGGAGACGCCAATTTTTTTAATATTATATTTCGTTCCCTTTTCTCTCCTATTTTTGAGCGACGCGCCTAATGCAACATTTTTAACCTATGCTGCGTTTCAGCATGATGCATCATTTATCCTTGTTTAACATTCGATGAATAACAAGGATAAAGTAGCAGTATGCGCATCATGTGTGAAACGGAACACAGCCCTAAAGTTATAATCTCGCGCATGCGCACCAGATATCCGGGATTAATATCCGCCCATGCGCAGAAATGATCTCAAAATAATCTTAAATAAGATGTATGTAAAAAGCTATTGCAGTCTTTGTAAGACTATTGATGTTATAAATTTTTGGATTTACGAATCTTAAGTCTTTGAACTTATAAAATTTATAAATCAGCTAGCAAACTTTCAAGTTGATTCTTGAAACATCCTTGCATTCGAAGATTCTTGAATACTTATAGATAGCTAAATGCATAGATTCTTGAATAATCTTCCATGGGCATTCTAAAATTTGAAAAATATTACGAGATAAAAAAGGATAAAAAAGATGAAAGAAAAAGAAAGAAATGGTAAAATGTCAAACTATATATATATGTAGTACCGAAAAAATATGCTAATATGCTACACGAGGATGGCTCCCCTACAGCACAAAGTTGCACAAAAATTGCAGCAACATTGCATGTTACAGCAATATTGCAGAAATTTTGCAGTGATTGTGCAGATTGCTGCAAATTCTGTTGGGTACTGCATGGATTACATATTATTTATTTGCAATCGATTTGTTTTTAATTGTTAAAGTATAAAATTCAAATGAATTATGTGCAGATAGGAAAGGCAAGATAAAAGAGGGAAAATGGAGTATGTGAAATTTGATATATGTATACATAATAAAAAGAAAGAAAGAATAACAAGATAAATCTTTAATATATGTACACATCGAATTTCAAGCTGATTGTGTTTAAACTTAGTCAACCATTTGGATCAATGATCTGCTTTTTGAGATGCGCTTT